TCACTGCCTGAGCTGGGAGCGGTGACTTGGCAGAAGCCAAGTCAATGAAGAGCCTCCTGGAAGGTTGTGCGAGGCAGGGCACCCACTCTGCACACAGTACCAGAGGCTGGTTCTCCTTGGGCCCAGGCAGGAACTGAGACTGCCCCCCACCCGCCTGGCTGGAGTGTTTTGCCTGCTGAGCATTCTCCATGAAAACAGGCACATTTGATATGTAGGTGCACTTTAATGGACCCTGAAAAGAAATTAGATTGATTCATTTGAAGAATAAATGTCTCTCCCCCGCCCCCTACATAGCAAAGCTCTTAAATGCTTCCACTTAATGGAAATGGAAATTACCTCTCAAAACATTACTAAAACTAATCATGGCAATTTTTATACATTTCCACAATTCACTGTGCCATCTTTTCTCCTACTTTGATGAGCAAAGACTCGCACATGCCTACATTATGCCTGTAGGCATAATGACGATATGACGATGGTCCATGGTAGCTCGATCTACTTGGACAGTCCCCTCCCCCACCTCTGCCCTGATTGATCAGCTCCCCAAGGGAAATGCCATTTCTTTTTCTTTTACTGTCTCCAGAGAGGAAGGGACTACAATTGCTATTAAATAAAACCCTTTGGTGGAAAGAAATAGCCAAGGTTAAGTATACTTAACATTTCTTCACAGTCAGGGACCTGTCAACTATTTATAATTCTGAACTCAGAAGAAAAGAGGAAAACAAGGCTTTGAAATAATGTAATTATAATTTTAAAATTTTTTCCATCTAGGTCCTCTCCCTCTAATACTTAACTCTCACATTTCAATTAATCCATCATTCATCTCTGTCTTGCTCAGGGCATGATATGTTTTCTAATTTGTAAGATTTGCATCTGAAAATTTTGGTAAATATTGATTTGAATCAAAATGTCACACACCTGACTGACAAATATAAGTTTAGTGTCTACTTTAGCAACAAACAGACTATTAGAATTTAATTAGGCACACTATACATACACATGTATTTATGTGCATAAACATATATGTACATAGAAATACCAATTTGAGTACTGTGAAACCCAATGACATTTCTGAGAGTCCCCATCACATGTAAAGGAAAAGTGTGACCCCGTATGCATCAGTTCTGTCTCTGCAGTGTCTCTGCAGTTGTGGGTAAGCTATGCCCTGTTGTCGGGCCTCATTTTAGCAATTTCAGGAGCTCGGGCACAGCCTGGCTGTGGCTTGCATGCTTAGACCCAGTCTCTCTCTAAGGACAAAACGGACACAGCAATGATAGGAAAATCCTGAATTCACAGCCTGAATTGTTCAGATGGGATGTCCACGGCACCCCTGTCCCACCTTGGCCTTCCTTCATCTGCCTGCAGGGTGCCTCTGTTTCACATCAAATCCCCTCTTTTCATTAACTGATTTTAATCAGAGTTACACTGCATTTTTTCATTATGCACCAAGCACTATCCTAGGGCCTTCCCCATCCTGCGCTCAACCCCCGTCAGCAGCTCTGTGTGGGAGTTACCATTAGCCCCCCCGCTCTAGCAAAAGAAATTAGGGCTCAGAGGGTGAAGGGCTTTCTCTGCTCAGACAGCCCTCGGGTGGTCAAGTGGGATTTAACATGAGTCCAGGCCCCGTCGACCGCAGGACCTGCTTCCCCAAGAATCAGATCTTTTCATCTCACCATAACCATTTCCCAATTTCAGCTGAATTTAAAGTAGAACAACAGACAGATATTGTGATGGCTTTCCTTGTGTGTTTTGGAATAGTTCAGGGGTGTCCTGGGGTTGGTGGGTTAGTCTTTAGAAAATCACCTGCTCTTTATACTCTGGTAGTAATAGAGACACTGTGGGTCTTAGATTCATCTGGAATCCCAGGGCCAAAGCCTGCAGTGGTCCCCCATCCATAGAAGCTGCTCCCTTTGTACCCTGCACCTGGGCCCATGAGCATGAACTGTTAGAGTTGTCATCTGTGCATGTACCTGTCACTCCTGTGATGCTGGGATCTTTCCAGAATGTGCCCAAGGGCCTGGTTGTTCCTACCCTGTCATAGTCGACTCACTGACATGTACAGCTAACTCAGGAATAAGCTATCAGTTTTCCAGAGAAATCTTCAGCAAGTCACCATTTAAAACAGTGTAACAAAGCAAAGTGCAGTCGCAGGATCTGATCGTAAACAGAGAGCTGGTGAAATTCAATAAGACATTGTTTCCCATCTAAACAATCTGTTCATAAAGCGCCTACAGAATTGAAATATGTTTCAGTAGAATGTGGCTGTGAGAGGACTGACATTCGAGAAGACAAAAGCATGATTCTGTCCCTGATTGATAAGACAGCCACGTGGCGCGCAGTGCCGGGTTCTGCTGTCGCAGTGCCACATTCACCTGACTCTGCCTGTAGAATGGAACTGATCTCCCCAGTGTGGCTGGGCACCACTCCGGTCGGCCCCAGCTCTGCTTCTCCTCTCAGGATGGTCCTGTCGGTGGCCCATCTGGGTGTCTCATCAGTCCATGAACGGCTTTCCTCTGGTACTGGTCACCTTCCAGTGGTACTGGTCACTCTGTCACCTCTGCCTGGAGCGCCCATTCCTGACCTTGTCTGTGAGACCAAATTCTCATCCTTCCCAGCCTCAGTGAGAACCCCCTTCCTCTACCAAGATGCCTGGCCCTCATCTTAGGCCGTCCTGAATGGACCCGCTGCCTCTTCTGATGCCATCACACTCGGTATTCCTTGAACCACTTCCACCTCCTGAGATGACCCAGTGCCCCGCCAAGGCAGAAAAGGCAGCCTCCCGTGCCTAGGGCTCCGTCCCCAGGATGGGCACAGGAGAACACTGTGACCAAGACAACACCCCTTTGCATCCTAGCAAAGCCTCTGACAGTGACGTGATCCCGGGCTTTCTGAGTGCCCAGCGGCTTCCTATCATGTTTCTTACTTAATTAATTTCACCCTGACCACAAGCCTCTGAGACAAGGACCACCTGCATCCTCCTGGATAGAGGAGGACCTGAAAAGCAAGTTGGTGAGGTACCTTCCAAATGAGACGGATGGGAACCTGGGAGCACGAGCCTGTGGCCCTCACTGCTCCTGAATTCTCCTCTCCAGCCAGCGGCTCCTTTCTACATCCATTTGAAGCCAAGTGGGGAAAAACCCAAATTAAAGAATCTGCTCTGACAAGACAGTTCCACCAAAGGAGTCTTGAAGACGTTATTAGGTTCTGCTTCAAGGCTCCCTGCTTCTTTTCCAATATATCCTGCTCTGTTTCCAAAACATATTTTTATTTTTTTATTTTCTCTCCAGAAATACACACCTGTCATGGAGAATGTGTCCGGATGCTGATCTGCCAACATGAGTGCCAACGTCCTCGTGACACGGACACGCAGACGGCACCCCCAGGAAGGGCCAGGGTCTGCTTCCCCACCTGAAGGTGGGCTGGCCTTGCCCCTGGCCTCCCCAGTGACCGGGGTCTTCTGTGTTTTCTTTCCTGGTGGCAGAGCCACCCACCAGGTCAGGAGTCTGGGTTGCCAACCAGAGACAGAAGCTCAGCCAGACCAAGCAAGGCTCAGGCATGATGGAGTCATCCTGAAGCTCTGTGCCCGCCGACCCAGCCAACTCAAGACATCAACAAGAAGAAACCACTGTCGCAAGAGCTAGCTTCTGGAGGGTTCTGTAATGCAGCAGTACCTCATTGAAAATAATAGAATTGGGAAATGCACTTTGAAGGAAAGATTGCCCATGGTGTCTCTCCCTCACCGTGGAACCCTCAGGTGGTAAAGGATGGCTGGCCTCTGTTCGCCATAGCCTGTGGCACGCAGCACAGGGACTTGCCGCCTGCATCACGGTGACTCTCCTGCCAAGCCAGACCAAGTAAGAGAAGAACTTTCCCCTGAAGCACATTTTGTTTTCCTTTCACTGTTTCTCCGCAGCACTATCGTATACCCTTCTCTGTCCTGGGCTGCTGCTGGGCTCTGCCATCCCTGGATGCCCTGCGGTCTTCAGGTCCTCAGCCAATGAGGGAGCAGAGCTCCTCTTCCCAGTCTCAGGCCACTGGCCATACCTGGGCCCTCCCTGATGTCTTTCTGCTGTCTTGAGGAACCACGGCCCCCACCTCTGCAAGGTGAGCCTAGCAGAACAGCACATCTGCACACGGAACTTGCTGGAACTCAATAGCACAGGATTTCACTCACCATATCACGTCAGTTCCTAGAGAACTCTGTAAGGAAGAGCTCTGACCTCACACGTAGCTCTGCTGGATTTGATTCCTATGATATTATTGGCTACTCTTTTAAAATTAACCAGCTTTTGTGCAGCTCTGCCTTTTCATCTCCTCACTTTCTCTCCTCCACCCCTAAGCCTTCATCATGTGAACAAAAAGCGCAAGTCTACACAGTGTTCCCAAGTTCACTAACATAGCCTCCTTGGGTCTCCACTAATTCATCTTTGCCTGTCTTTATTTCTTGTGCCATGAGTTCCGTATTTCTGACTCGACTCTATTGCAGAGTGTCTGCTCAGAGCCTTGGTCACCGCTTCATCTTCAAGCCCCTTTCGATGGGGCCTGAGCTGTCCTTGGCAGCCTCCCCTGCTGGCTGCAGGGCTTTGAGACCCCTGATGGTACGTGAAAAGTGCCACCCTGACTGTCCACTTACCCAGTGCTGTGGACCTAGCTGACTTCCAGGCTCTCTTTACCAACAGGCTTCTCCTTACATGCATGCAGATGCCATCTCCCACCCATTTTGACTCTGACTTGACCTTAACCAACCCTCCACAGCCAGTTTACCCTCAGGTACCAGCCATCCCTGGAAGAGTGTGTTTTCCTTCCGTCGGGTCCCCCTTGCAACAAGGTATACACAAAGCCACTTTCAACCACAAGCCTTCACTTCCAGCAGGCCTCCATCCAGTGGCACCTGACAGTGACTTCCTGGATGCCTCCATGCCCTGCACCCACCATGCCCTGGAGCACTGGGGAGAGGAAGATTTAGCACCCAGGCAAGCCCTGCGCCTCCCTCTGCTCACCTGCCTGTCCCACGATGGAAGCACTCAGTCTGTGAGGGATCCTGGAGGACACCTTCAAGGTCATTCGGATCTGGTAATACCTAAGAAGAGAGCAAATGAGAGATGGTTGAAGGCTGGACTTCTCAGTGTGACCTCTAAACAGAAGGTCACTGGAAACCATGGAGCTTGCTGGGCAGCATGCACCATTATCCCACAGCAAAGAGAAAGGCGTGGCGTCTCCAGAGCTGAAAGGCAAAGGGGTGGGTCACAGTCAGAGGCAGGAAGTCGAATTCTTTTGAAATCATACAAGACTGAACAAAGTTGGAAGTGACGGAAATAGAAAAAGAATAGGCGAGTCACGTGACACAGTTACATTAAGAGGTGTGGTTTCTCTTTAGTCAGGAAAATTCATCCCTACAAGAAAAAAGTCAGTATAAAGGTGGTGAAAAACTCACATATAATATAAGCTGAGCTTTCTTGTGTTGTAACACACACACACACACACACACACACACACACGACACACAATGGCTGTCATCTCTGGAGATACTGACAAACATGTGCCCCAGTGTATTGATCTTTGCTTCTTTTCAACACCTCACTCCCATTTCCAGATCCTGTCATCTGGGGACACTCACTGCAGTCTCTCATGCTCTACGTAAACTCTCTCATGTGCCCTCTTTTTGTGACAAGTGCCGACGCATCTTTTTGAAGTTCTGTGCTTTGCAATTAATGACCCTTTTGCTTATACGCACTTGGGAACATTTCTGACGTCATAATTGTGCTCCCCAACGGCTGATTCAAGCCCATTATGAAAGGGACTGTGAATACAACAAAGTGAACTCCAAGGAGAATGGACCACGAGCCGTCAGCATCATGGCTCACTGGGCTCTTAGCAGGGAGAGTCCCCTGCCAGTGACTCAGGGGCAGCGCACACACAGGATGCTTCTGTGGGTGGGCTCGTGTCTGTTTTGATGTGTATGTGACAAACGAAGGGGATATTGAGTAGGAAGCACAGCCCTGGATTTGTGACCATAGTTGGGTGTCACTTGTGAGCTGTGTGACTCTACTGTCTAACTTTTCTAAGCTTGATCCTTTATCTTTAAAATAGGATAAAAACGAGACCTATCTGCCGTGACTTTTGCTTCAAGAAAGATGGAGCAGACCTACTTTTCTCTGTTCATGCCACTAAGCCCATGTACATACTCTAGATAACAACAGAACAAGCCACAGAAGATCCTTAGGGAACAGAGACACACCAGGGACCTCAAGAAACGAGGAAAACTAGGGAAGTTCTCTGCATTTTCTTGCCTCCTAACCCCATACTGGGGACTGGAGAAGCCAGCAAGTCAGAGAGGCTAGGATCCACAGACAAAAGCCCCACACAACCAGCCTTCCCCTGAACCCAAAGGACAGTAGGGTAGGCAGCCTGGAGGAAAGACACTCTCCAACAATAGCTGTTGTCCCCAGCTGCGCAACACAGGAGGAGGCACCCCACCTCCACCCACCCCCAGGCCAGGCTGCAAGGAAGCACCGTCTCCACCTCCAGGCGTCCTAGGGGAGGTCTGGAGGAGGGAGCCAGACAGGATGGGGAGCCCACTGAACCCACTGAGCACACGTTAAGGGAGACCGTAAAAGGAGCCCAGCCTCCACCTGCCAGCTAGTAGTGACAAGGGCATAAATATGCCTGTGACTCTTTACAAACAAGGAAAATAAATTTCCCTGAAGCAATTGGACACTCGTAGGTAAAACAGCACTAACAAACCAACCTCAGATTTAATGTCACACCTTACGTAAGAATAATCAAAAAGGATCTCAGGCTTAAATGAGAAACAGGAAATTTTTAGACAAAGAGAAAAAGCTTCTAAATATATTGTAAATACGGAGTTAAGACGAAATCTTAGACTTACCACCAAACCATGATCTACAAAAGAAAATATTGATAAATTTGATTTCACTAAAACTTCGCCCTTTTTATTTTTCTGTGACTAATGCTGTTAAGAGGATTATAATACAAGCTGCTGTGTGGAAAAAATATTTGCAAATAGTATGCAGCTGATATTCAGTATTTGTGTATTCCTTATTTGTGGATTTGTCTATTTGTTAAAATCTGTTAACCCAAATGCAATATTAGTTGCACCCTCGTGGTCATTCAAAGGCTTGAGCATTGTGGCAAAAAATCCAGTCATCTAATCTGCAGGTCCCGACTTAGCCTGAACAACTGTGCAAACGAGGGCCCTCTTTGCAGTCTGTCTCATGGCACATTTTTTTTGGTGTGTGTGTTTTTGTGGATTTCACTGACAATTCTGCTATTTAAAATAGCCCCATGCATTCAGCTGAGTGTTAATTAGTGTTCCCAAGGGAAGAGCAGAGAAAATACTGTGTATTAGATAAACTTTATTGAGATATGAGGTAGGGTACTATCGGCAGAGATCAAGGTCAACAAATCAGCAATACATGCTAAGCAAAATGTCTTTGAGAGCAACACACATGAAGCACAGCTACATGTTGGTCAGTTGATGAAAACGGGACCAGAGGCTCAGGGGAACCTGCCTGCATGTGTACCCTGGGAGCAGTAGCTCAGTGTTTGCTCATTCGTGAAGGCATTTTAGAACATTACGCCCTTGAATATGAGAATTGACTACCTGACAAAGGATCATTACCTAGAAAAAACTCATAACTCACAAATCTTCATGATGACAAACAAAGTAAAAGTAGGCAAACACAAGAAAAAACTTTCCCAAAGGAGGACCCACAGGGGCACATAAGCTCATGAAAAGATGCTGGATACGCTCTCCACACCCAGCAAGGTATTGAGCACACTCCCATCAAAATTCCAATTACAGTTTTTTTTCCATAGAAATAGAGAATCATAAACACAAATGAAGTCACAAATATTTTTAATAGTTAAAAAAACAGTAATAGAAAGATTGGCAAAGCCTCAGGCATCAGATATCTTTATTTCCAATCACATTACAAAGTTACAGTGATCAAGACAGCATGGTGCTGGTAGAGAAGTAGACATATTCCCCAGGAAGAGAAGAAAGCCCAGCAGTAAGCCCCAAAGTACACAGACTACCAGTGTGGGACCAGGACCTCAGGCGTGCACGATGGAGAAAGAAGAGTCACCAAAGAATGATGTGGGGAACGGCTGGCCACAGGCAAGGGGACGGAAAACCACTTCCCTCTAATCCCAGGCACAAGAAGAAATGTGAAAGGTATGAACACCTAAAGGTGAGTCCCCAACCATAAGACTCCAAGAAGAAAAAACATGGAGGAAAATCTCCTTGATCTTGTCTTTGTCATAATGTTTTGGATGTGGCACTGAAAGCACAGCCACAAAACCAAAACGGAACAAGCAGATTACACCAATCCACACAGCAAATGCCCAATGGGATGAGGGGCAGCCTACAGATGGGAGGAAACATTTGCCAACCAAGTAGCTGAGAAGGAGGTGGGATCCAAAATTCATAAGGAACTCACAGAACTCAATAGCAAGAAAAGCAAAGAACCCGATTAAAAAACTTGACCAGACTTTTTTTCAAAACACCACCATGTGCCTGAAAAGGTGCTCAACACCATTGGTCCTCAGGGAAAAGCACATCAGCAGCATGAGGAGACATCATCTGCCACCTGTTAGGATGATCATCAACAAGAGACAGCCAGCATTGGTGAGGACGGCAGGGAAGAGGGCCTTGTGCCTGTTGGTGGGACGGAACCTGCTAAGCCATTAGGTACAGTGACAGAGAGAACCCTCCAAGAGGTGGGAGCAAGCTGTGCCTGTGACCCCTCTGCTGGATGAACTGAAGGGGGCTACGCACGCTCCTCCTTGAGATCTCACAGTGAGATCTACATTTCTCCAGGTCGTCATTCTTCAAAAAGGAGATACCGCCGTTTGCAACCACACAGATGAAGCTGAAGGACAGGATGTAAATGAAATAAGCCAGACTCAGAAATAAAAAAAAATACTACATCATCCGACAGATGGGGAACGTCTAAAGAAAGTGTCAAAGGCATGGAAGTAGAGAGTCACCGAATGCGAGTTACCTGTGGTGAGGAGGGAGGGAAGAAATGCAGATCAAAGGATATACATTTTCAAGCACATAGGATGAATAAGCCTAAGATCTAGCGGGCAGCAGGAGGGCTGGAGGCGAGGAAATTGTATTGTGTGGTGAAAGAGAGTAGCTTTTAGGTGTGCTCACCACAAGATATAAAAATTAAAAATGGGTAACGAAGGAAGCCGGCGGATCTGTGACTTGCTTGCCTGTAGGGATCCCTGCACTGCAGTGGGGGTCTCCAGGCATCGTGCTGTGCATCCCGGACATAGGCCATTAAAGATTTTTTTAAAAAAAATGTTTGACCTCATTATACAAAGTGCAAATCAAAACCACAAGGAAGTACTACTACACGTCCATCAGAATGTACAATGAAAAACGGACAACACGGAAGGCTGGCAACTGCACAGAAAAACTGGATCACTCACGTGTGTGTGTGTGTGTGTGTGTGTGTGTGTGTGTGTGTGTAATGGTAGATGGCACAGCCACTTGGGACAATACCCGTCACACTGTGCTACCCCTTTGTCAGACGCTGCCATAGAGGAGAGTGGGGAAGAGTACATAGGATGTCTTTCTATTCTTTGCTAAAACTGCGAATCTGTAAGCATCTCAAAATCCAAATTTTAATTGAAAAAAATAAAAATGAGAGCACCGGTAGAGTTCAACAGCACAATCAGTGACTGAGCAAACTCAGATGTCCACAGGAGCCAGGAAAATAAGTGAAAGAAAATCTAAAAAGATACTCTGGATCCCACTTAATCTAGCTTTTCTTTTTTCACTGTTGATGGAAATGTGGGTACTACTTGCATGGTACTGAAAGGGTAAAGTTTCTAAGCTGCAAGGCCTGAGTTAAAAAGTGAAGGACCAGGTATGGTTAAGTTCCTCTGCCACACCCAGAACCAGAAATTCCTGAGGCAGTTAAGACAACGCCCTACTGGCCATTTAGCCTAGGGCTCCGTGCAGCTTGTCATACAAGGCATACAGGGCCCGAACCAATCAGTGTGAATGTGTACCCTGATTAGGAGTGACCAATCACCCCGGCCCAA